CGCTTGCAGCTATACATACGGTAACTATTATATCCTGTATTATCATAGTTATAATTCGACAAGTCTTATTTCTGCGCGAATTTACTGACTAGAACTGGCCAGCCAAATAGAATGTATAGCTAAATCAAGAGACCGCAAACATGCAGTACACGAAATCTTTTTGTTTTAAAAGCAGTATGCAAACGTCAAAGCTAACACAAATTTGTGTTTATATTATAAAGACCAATTTAGTGGAGACTCTTGTGTTCAGAAAGATGCAATCATCTTTTGCTGACAGGTTAAGAAGATGTAGTCATCTTTGCTTAATCAGTTGAACCTAACTGATGCCACGTACGAGTTCTATGCATGGCATTGGTATATATGCAGATATTCATAACTCATTAAGCCTTTCTGCGCGAGTTGCAACTACATGTCATGGCTATTTTCATTTAGAATCTAACCAAATAAAACATATATGGGATATAGCTGAATACCCTCACGTGTACAGGCTTCTGTAAGCAAATGTAAGCAATTGTATTGCATTTCACGTGATTTCACAAGACTAGTAACTTATTTCTAAATATTGAACTAAACGCCACATGCTAATTTTCATATACCCACTGCGAACAGAACCGGATTGATGACAGCTTTGCCTATTAATTTTATTGGGATTAGACATAATTGCATCCGGCGAACTGCACAAATTTTGGGGTTGGGATAAAACGCGGAACCGGAATGCGGATTCCGTAAGCGGATTCCGGATGCGGATTCCGCAAATGAGGATAAAACGCGGATTCCGCATTTGAGGATAAAACGCGGATTCCGCAAATGAAGATAAAACGCGGAATTGCGTAAAAAGGACGAGAAGAAGAATAGCGTATAAAAAACTTAAATTATTACTTTTTAAGGTCACAACCGCTAAAAAGCGATTGGCTAAAGTTACCTAGTTACTCTAGGCCTAACTGTTGAAGTCATACATGCATGCATTAGTGTTGGGAGGGGGGGGGGGACTGTGACTTTTTTAACTATTTCTTAAAATTATGGAGGAAGGTGGAAAATCGTAAATATCAAGAGCGTCTTCATTTTTATCTAAGTTTCTTTGTTAATGCTAGTAATATTCGGGCTTTGATGGCGCAGGCGTCAGAGGAAGCGCCTTTCGCCTCTGAGATCGTGGGTTCGATTCTCGCTACGGATTCGATGTGAAAAGAGTCAGTCAACGCTCCGCCAAAAGTCGTGAGTTTTCTCCGGGTGCAAATAGAGCAGAAATCAATTCAAAGTAGCTAAAATTACGACTTATACGCAAGACATATAACGCTTGTTGGGAACAGATTAACATGAACTTTGTGTCGGATTACTAGGTGTTTATGCATGGTTTTTGTCGGATTGCTAGGTGTTGTACGCATTGTAATTAAGGTTTCCTTTAATTTAATTGCGTATCAACATTCCTTTAGTATAGTTGCCGCCCGGCCATATCCTGCTGCGTTCCAGACTTTAGTTCGAAGTTCGAACGCATAATATGAAAAATATCGGTTAAATATTCAGTTGGACATTTGATCGCTTACACGCGTTTTGCCATAACAGAAATTATTTTAGCAAAAGCAGTGTCTGAGGGGAAAAATGGAAATTTGAATTGATTTCTTAATTTCTGCTCTACTTGAATTGATCAAGTTACAAATTGATTCATATAAATACAATCAATAACTACAACCACGATCATCAAGTTGAATTTTTCAGTTTGTATTGTATGGCGTTAATATGTGACATGCGCGACAATATTAACACCGTATTATTAAATTGCAATGGAATTTAAATTCGGCTGATACTGATCATCAGTGTGTAATAGCGCATTTGTTTTTATCAAAAATCATGATTTTCCAAGCTTACCGTTTGCGCTAATAAATGGACTAAAACGCAAGTTATTATATACGCAAAACGCTTTTGCCATTCACGCTTCATTGTTTACGTCCAATTAAGACTTCTAAAACTAAACTAAAGAAACAGTTAGCTACATAGGACACTCTACTGAACTGATAGGATGCGCAATATTACTTTAAAAAATACTATAAATTATAAATAATATAAATTACTTTTTATACGAAATTTATATTACTTTAAAAAACTCATTAATAATTCAGGAGGAAAATCTCCTTAAAAAAATCACCTTTGTGAGGGTGAAAATCACCTTTGTGAGGGTTTGGTAGAAAATGCGGGTTGATTTTTTTCTCCTCTTGATCTCGCAAAAAAATCAACCCGCAACCCGCATTTTCTACCAAACCCTCACAAAGGTGATTTTCACCCTCACAAAGGTGATTTTTTAAGGTGATTTTCCTCCTGAATTATTAATGAGTTTTTTATTAAAGTAATATAAATTTCGTATAAAAAGTAATTTATATTATTTATAAAGTATTTAGTAAAGTATTTTTTAAAGGTATATTGCGCATCCTATCAGTTCAGTAGAGTGTCCTATGTAGCTAAATGTTTCTTTAGTTTAGTTTTAGAAGTCTTAATTGGACGTAAACAATGAAGCGTGAATGGCAAAAGCGTTTTGCGTATATGATAACTTGGGTTTTAGTCCATTTATTAGCGCAAACGGTAAGCTTGGAAAATCATGATTTTTGATAAATCAAATGCGCTATTACACACTGATGATCAGTATCAGCCGAATTTAAATTCCATTGCAATTTAATAATACGGTGTTAACATTGTCGCGCAAGTCACATATTAGTGCCATACAATACAAACTGAAAAATTCAACTTGATGATCGTGGTTGTAGTTACTCTAGTTGATTGTATTTATATGAATCAATTTGTAACTTGGTCAATTCAAGTCGAGCAGAAATTAAGAAATCAATTCAAATTTTCATTTTTTCCCTCAGACACTGCTTTTGCTAAAATAATTTATGTTTTAGCAAAACGCGTGTAAGCGATCAAATGTCCAACTGAATATTTAACCGATATTTTTCATATTATGCGTTCGAACTTCGAACTAAAGTCTGGAACGCAGCAGGATATGGCCGGGCGGCAACTACTAAAGGAATGTTGATACGCAATTAAATTAAAGGAAACCTTAATTACAATGCGTACAACACCTAGCAATCCGACAAAAACCATGCATAAACACCTAGTAATCCGACACAAAGTTCATATTAATCTGTTCCCAACAAGCGTTATATGTCTTGCGTATAAGTCGTAATTTTAGCTACTTTGAATTGATTTCTGCTCTATTTGCACCCGGAGAAAACTCACGACTTTTGGCGGAGCGTTGACAGACTCTTTTCACATCGAATCCGTAGCGAGAATCGAACCCACGATCTCAGAGGTGAAAGGCGCTTCCTCTGACGCCTGCGCCATCAAAGCCCGAATATTACTAACATTAACAAAGAAACTTAGATAAAAATGAAGACGCTCTTGATAAATACGATTTTCCACCCCCCTCCATAATTTTAAGAAATAGTCCAAAAAGTCACAGTCCCCCCCTCTTCCCAACACTAATGCATGCATGTATGACTTCAACAGTTAGGCCTAGAGTAACTAGGTAACTTTAGCCAATCGCTTTTTAGTGGTTGTGACCTTAAAAAGTAATAATTTAAGTTTTTTATACGCTATTCTTCTTCTCGTCCTTTTTTACGCAATTCCGCGTTTTATCCTCATTTGCGGAATCCGCTTCCGGAATCCGCGTTTTATCCTCAAATGCGGAATCCGCGTTTTATCCTCATTTGCGGAATCCGCATCCGGAATCCGCTTCCGGAATCCGCGTTTTATCCTCAAATGCGGAATCCGCATCCGGAATCCGCTTACGGAATCCGCATTCCGGTTCCGCGTTTTATCCCAACCCCGTGCGGAATAAGATAGCAGTTTTGAAGCGACAAAAAAAGGCGGTTTAGTTTATATACATTATAGCCGAGCAATTGCAGACTTGCCTCAGTTATACGTTGCTAATTTGCCTTGAAATAAAAACGGCGTTTGCGTGAAATTACGCGTTATTTTACAGTGGCCATGCAGCAATGGCAATGCTTTCAATTTCAAACTATTCAGTGCTCAGCAGAAACACTCGTCTATTTGTAAAATTTTTAGTATCAAACCGCAACACACAATAATTTTTGGTGTGAAAGCTTGTTGACGCCTGTAGACAAGTTCAAAATGTCTGCACTCGTTAAAAAAAGAACAGAATGTTTAATATGTGAGGTATTACCCAATAGCATAGTTTTGAAAAAAAAAGACAGATAATTTGAGAAAATTATTATTATTGTCTGTGTTGAAGTGACACGGTTAAACAGTGGTACTATGAATGCCAATAGAAGGACCTTTACCCGTTTAATTTCCTGTCAAAGATTCATGCGAATGTTTTAAATTAATAGTTTATGTACCACGTACAATGTGGCACAATTCCACAAGTTATATTAATTGAAGCCTATAATGCATGCCCGTTACCATTATAAGTAAGGAACACAAAATAGTTTGAGTAAGTAAAACTAGGTTCGGGGCAGGGTTCGGATTTGTGTCGATTTGACTCGTACTTCGGGTGCTGCCCAGAGCTAGGGTGCTGCCAATGTTTGAAATTAACGTGGAAACTTGTCCCATCCTGCGCATGCGTGAGCTAAACAAGTGCTACGCAGTCTTCATGCTCTCAGAAATGATATTTCTACCGCAAAACTATTTCATTTTCAATATAGGATGAACTGTTTACTGAAAATATGAAAGGCATTCGGGTAACACAGCGGAACCATTTAATGCTTCAGAACTACACTATTTCATTGAACCGAGTAGGAAGTTTTTATTGGCAAAGAACTTTAGTCACAAATATGTTGTCTGGTGTTATTTATTCTGTAGCAGTACCAAGTGCAACGTGGCACAAGGTCGTAACTTCACAAGCGGTCAATATAACTAGTTAGTGCATGAGAGTATTAGAGACGATATTAATTGCTAATTTGTTATACTTCAATTAACCACGCGAAATGGGCATTTTTGGACGAGTTCTGCTAACCTTTATGTTCTACTGTATTGGGATTCAAGTATATGTCATGTACAATGCATTTAACGGTGAAAAAAGAGATATTTCTATGCAAGCAATAGATGTAAATGCATCAAGTCGGTTAGTGCAGGACACAAGAAGCGAAATTATTCAAGATGTAGAAAGTATGTTCAATTTAAAACCACGTTTTAATCATTTTGATGATCATTACATCAATGAAGATCCTCTCGTAAAGATTTATGGGATTGATTCAGTTCATCTTTTACACAAGTTTTGGATATCCTATCTCCACACACGTGACACTAGCACGAATATATATTCTGTAACTCATTACCACTCCTCAATACGGCTCGTAATGAACGCAATAGCCATGACGCGATTGGGAAAAATTGATCTAAATGCGACATTTTGGATAGAGCTAAGTAATATTGGTGGCTCAGAAAAGGTTGTTCACTTCAGAGAAGAATGGAACGATGTCCCGTTGTTGGACAAAGATAATACCTTCTTTCTTATTGGTTGGACAGCTGAAATGATGAGATTCATATTTGGCAAAATTGTTGTACAGATCTCCGCTTGGACTTGTTAATTGTTATGGGACAGTCTGTTAATTACATTTACAAATAATTATCACTGGTTAATCATAATTACACATAATTATTACTTGTTAATTATACTAACAAATAAGTATTACAGGTTCAAAATGTTTACAAAGAATTATTATTTGTTAATAATATTTTTATATTTTCATTATTATCAACACTGATTACCAATTGTAAATTAAGTTTTATTTCAGTATATGAAGATTGAAGTATAGAAAAGTCTGACAAATAATATGAAATAGATTTTCTCAAAGTCCCTATCGATTTCCCGCCACCCATGAGAGATATGGACTTATCAAACTTGCAGCGCACCAAATTTGATGACCCAAAAGTGGGTCACAAAAAGTGGGTAACAATGACGTAATTAGTATTCATAACCAATCAGTGAGGAATCTTGTTAATTCGTAATAAATTGCCAAAAGTGCAATAAACAAAGTCCATATCAGATAAGGAAAAAAATATGTGGGTTTACTATTTCCTCTTGTAAAAACGTAGGTAGGGTAGGTCGGTTTTAACTTTTTTTTAATTAAACTTTTTTTTAAATTTTCCTAACAACTGGACGCCATGTTTGTTTAGTCAGTGCTTCCACATCCAAAGATAAATTTCCCTAATATTCGTGTTTCGCTCGCTACTCTGGTTTAAATAAATGATTACAAAGCCCAGTCGTATTGTAATCAAGACGGCCCAACGTTTCGACACTCCAGTCTAGTGTCGTCATCAGGGGTGATCTAAAATTGCAATCGTGCAATAACTCCGAGGGTGATACCTCTGTTAAGGGTTATGCAATAGTTCCATACATTCAAGGTGTCACAGAACCAATCAAGAGAATCTTAAGTAATTGTAATATTAAGGTTGCCTTAAAACCCTATTTGACTTTAGGCCATATTTTCGCAAAGCCAAAAGACCCTGTTGAAACAAATCAGAAGACTCATGCTATATATTCTATACCATGCGGTGACTGCGACAAAGATAAATATGAGTCATCATGTTTTGAATAGGGATGACGGTGCCTATTTGCCAGAGGAATATATGCATCTTCTTGGCAGGTGACGTCATCCCTTGGGTATTTAAGAAGCCACGATCGCAGTTTTAGATCACCTCTGATGAAGACACTAGACTGGAGTGTCGAAACGTTGGGTCTTGATTACAATTCGACTGGGCTTTGTAATCATTTATTTAAACCAGAGTAGCGAGCGAAACATGATTGATATACCTGGTTGCAGCGAACGAACAAACTTTAAATTCCCTAATATTGCCTCAAATTTCCATTTTCCACAAAAGTTTTCCCCTAAGTGGAAACACTTACAAGCATGATCCAATAAAATAGTTTAGTGTCGGGATTTCGGCGACCACAAGCTAGGTAGGGTCGGGAAACCGGAAACCCACATATTTCTTTGGCCTAAGCAACAGATTACGATATCATGATGCTGTTGGTAATCGAAGATAGTGAGCTGTGTTTGGTATTTAGCTTAATTTAGCGTTTTCCCAGGGTACACTAAGGTCACTGTACTGTAGGTATAACTTATGAGTATATGGATCAGTGAGAAAAGCCTGACTGGAAAATTTCACAAACAGCTCCGTCGTGCTATTATAACAGCCCGAACTTTGCTTGATGATAGCAAGATTTCCTCCTACAATTTCTTTACTCAAGTCTCAACTTTTCTACTTCGACACCGCTGCATAACGTGTCTAGACGTTTTATGTATGTCCTTGCAATGTATGTATTTTTTACCGATGTCAAATTTCAAGAGGGTTAAGCCCAAAAGCTAACAGAAGCTGTTTGTTGGTTTCTTGTATTTCTCTTGATTCTGAAAACCATCTCTTTTTCGCTTCTTCTACCTTGTCGCCCATTTTGTCTAAAGTATCCTGTTAAATGAAAACGGTTAAACTGTTTTAAAAGGAAGACGTATAAGGCAGGCCACGTTTCGTTAACCGACTGTAAGTACCTCAGAATATTAATAACACCGGGCATAAGCTTTTCCAACAAGACAACAACAAATATGTAGAATTAGTAGTTGAGATTTAATAGTAATAAAAGCGGCCTTAATGTGATTTTAGATGCGATTTTCCTCTTCTGATGGATGTAAACGAGTGGATAAGTTATGAATGTTCAGATGAGGGTATATGTACTCCGAACATTCGTAACTCATCTACTCCTTCAGGACCTTCACATGCATCAGAAGGAGAAAATCGCACCAGAAATAGCAGTAAGAATTGCAAGTGTAAACGGGCCTTTATGGGGGGGGGTTATATGGAGGCGAGTCAGGCCGTCTACCCGAGCTAGCTAGCTTTGCCGAGCTGCATGATATCATCTTGTGTTTACATGACACTTTTGAGGTGGACTACCTCGCAAAAAAACCTACTGGGCTCACTGCTATAAATGATAAAATATTATATAATAACCTTAAAAATTCATGCGATTTCATTGGTCGAGAGCCATGATCTATTAGAGGACAGACGCACGGAATTACGTCATAAGTTTTTAAAATGTCGAAAATATTTGAAAATTCCACTGAATTTATACAAATTGAATGAATTCATGCAATTAAATCTATAAACAACAATAAATACCTTCGATAAATGTGCAAAAATCACTCACAAAAGCTAGCAACTCGGCAAATCTCAACTCAGTCATTCAGCTGCGACTTCAAAATCCAATCCGGTCTTCGAAAACAAATACTATTTCGGTTATTTGATCCTGTCGATGTCACATTTTCCAGCTGGTTTCTTCACTTCGTGCAACATAGGCAATGTTTATGTGCTTTTTAATTGCCATAGTCGCTCAGAACAAAATAATTGCCTTTTTATCACATGTTTTCACAGTTTCACTGTTTTGATAATTTTTTAGTTTTTCCTTATATTACATACATGACAAAATTACCGCAATCTGATTGGTTAAGAGGAGTGCAATTATTTCATTAATTATTTATCTTCTGTAATCAGTGGCAAATACTGCAATTTCATTGGTTTACAGGAGTGCGATTTGAGCATTAATCGCACCTTTTCTGAGCTGTAATCGCACTCTTGTGTACAGCCAATGAAAATCAGTCTAGTATTTACAACTAGCCAATCAGCATTCAGGATACAAACTTTGAATTTTATTTTCTTTATTGCTGTAAAAAATTTCAAAATGGAGGAATTCACGAATTTTGACCTTTTAATTTTTAAATCTGCCCTCGAAAACCGTCAAAATTGAGGTCGGAAAAAAAATGCCGACCTAAACCTGCCCTAGCTCGGCATTTTTTAAAATCTGTTTCCATGTCTTGGAGCACTAGTAGCCTGCACTAGTAATCACGTATTTGCGAATCATTGAAAAGTATAAATGTCACGAAGCCTTTTCTTTTAGAGTTTTTCCTAAATTATATCATAAATATACCCGTTAATTCTTAAACCTTACACCAAAGTGTATCGAATTCTATAATCGCTGACTTTTTAACAGCTATAAGCACCAAAAAAGATTCTTACTTTGGCTGAATTAAGGTCGGCAAAACATTGCCGACCTGGGAGGTTGATAGGTCGGCATTTTAATACTGTAGGTCGGCATTGCCGAATGCCGATCTCGTTTTCGAGGGTTGTTAAATTATATATTTTCTGACGAAAATGACCTACCTGTTCTTCCAGCAGAAGACACCGAACTAGACACAACCAGGAGTTATATTTCAATCAAATTCAGATGATTAACTGAACTAAAGAACTTCACTATTTTGAACACGTTATAAACATACAAACATGGCTTCCCAATTGTGTGTTGAATAATTCAAACAATGTTGTCATGTGATTATACCGGAAATAATGCCCGGAAGTTAATAATATGTTAATTTGATTATATATGATAAACAATAATTCAAAATTGTACTATTTCACTAAGAATTGTCGTGACAAAAATTTAATAATTATATTGAATTTCAACAAATTGTATTTTTCTGCTTTTCCCCCTTAAACAGTTTGATTACAGAAGATAAATAATTAATAAGTAATAGAACGAATTAAGTCGTACTATTAATTCCATAATCATACTCGTGATTAACAAATCAACCTCCCGCTACGCGGTCGGTTGATTTTGTAATCACTCGTATGATTATGGCATTAATAGCACTCCTATTCGTTCTATTACCATCATTAATTGCACTCTCCAGGAGTGCAATTAATGATTTTCGTGATGGCTGGGGGGAGCGGGAAATCAAAACAACAAAATGCAATATGGCGGCGAAATTTAAATAATTTTTTCTAACAAATGTGGGTGAATGTAACTGAATTTTGGCACAAGAATGAGTTTTAAAAACATTGTGTGGCAAAAAGAGCCTGTGGAAAATACCTAGAAACAGTTTTAAGAAATAATCTCGGCGGGATGCAGCGAAACGTGATTATGTAAGTCTGAAATACAATTTATAAAGATTTTCTTAGTCTAAAATACGTCATTTGAGTTTGAATCTTGTGTTCTAGATTAATTTATGTGCCTTTATGAGTTTATAACCATTTCCCAAGTTTGTTTATACCAAATTGCTTAAAAAAGAATTAAAAACTCTTGACAAATAGCAGTTGAAATTATAGAAAGTGATTTTGTCATGGATACTCGTTATATTTGAAAAATGCACCAAATTGGACTCGCCTCGGCGGCTCGTGCAATTTTGGCACATTTTTCAAATATCACACGTAGTGTTAATCATTAATTGCACTCCTTCCCGTGTGATTAACTATACTTATTACCGTCTAGCGCATTCTAAGCTTAGCCAATCTGTGCGTATTTTCAAACTAATGGTAAAGAGTTCAATGGAATCTGATTGGGAGAAATCCGTGAATATACTCATTTTTTTTTTACACCCTTCGCTGAGCTGTTTGCACTGGATTAACGACAACGAAACGCCGAAAACAGGGCTTTACTCTCTGTTTGTTTGAACAAAATATATATTTAACAATTATTGCATGAGGTTGAAGAATTACCATTGCATGAAGAATTACCAAGCCCTCAGTTTGCCGTTATCAACCTCAGCCTTCGGCTTCGGTTGACAACGGCAAACTTCGGGCTTGATAATTCTTCATATTCTGCGAAAACCGAATTCAATAATTGTTTTATTATTTATTTCAAAAATTCAAAACAAACGGTCATCTATTTGTTCACCTATGTAACATTATAAATCAGGAAAAGAATTAGGAAACTCAGTATTCTTACCTATTCTAGAAGCTTTTGCTGATCTTCTTGTATTTAACGAATCTTTATCTTCCAGTAATTTTGAATTTCGGCTTCGCCAAGTTTGCAAACCTTTCAGTGGAAGAAGCCATTTGTATTTTATTTGAATTAAGAGTGAAAAAAAAAACAAGCCCTTAGTCCTTCGGCAGCCATCGTCGTCATAGCAATGGCGTCAGCGAGTCAATATGATTCTCGTTGTCATATTAATATGGCGCAAACGCGTCCAAATTTTTTTAATATTGACGTCATTTTGCTATTATGAATGTGAAAAATCCGTATTTGGTTAGCCATTGAGTTGACATGTCAATCTCACCTTTATATCACACAGATATAAGAGACAACCTTATAATAGAAAGCAAATCCAAAGGGTATATATTTTGAGAGATATTGAGAGTTTTAGTTGTTTATATTTTATGTTATCATAGGATATTATATTGCAAACAGTGATTTTATTCTGGCTGTTTATGGCTACAAAGGACATGCTTGAATACGAGGGTTTAGTTGGGTTTACAGAGTGGGGAAGAGGTTGAACTTGTGGCAAGAGCATTTAAAGCGTATGAATTGGGTGCTCCAAATAAATTTATACAGGAACAAATTTTTGATATTAAATAAGAAAGAATACCAACAAAGGTTACAAACTAATAATATTATAAAGAGCGATCCTAAAACTCAGTGCGATGAATGTTGGAAAGATGACATTCAAACATGGCAACGTCTTGATGATGGAATGCTACATTCTACGAGTAAAGGCAGTGGGTGTTGAATATATTGGCAAATACAAGGATGAGAGTTAGGGCTTACTTATATTGGATGAGTGGATTTGTTGATATAATTCATGTACATGTTGCCAAATGCACACAAAGGATATGTGATGACTCGCATATAAAAGTGTGGATATAAGTGTCCTTGAACAGCTGGAACAAATGAGGCATGTAATCATGTACTTGCAGTCCTCTATGTATAAGATCAGCAATGCTTACAACAAGAAATATATTTTCCGTGCCTAGGTGCCTGTACCAGTGTTCCCCAAGGATGGAACAAAGGAACATAAAAAAGAAGTAAATCCACGCAAGGTTAAAAATTTAATATTTAGACAAAATCCTGGCTGTGATTAAACATTGAGTGACCATTAAAGCCTAAATAAAAAAGCCCGACGAAGTATCCAGACGTAGGTTTTTAGCCCAAATTTTGGGCTACAGACCTACGTCTGGATACTTTGTCGGGCTTTTTTTATTTAGGCTTTAATAAAGGTTTATAGTTAACTGTTCGATTTATAATATATTACTTTCTTTTATTTTATTTTATTTTAGAATCAATTCAGAGAGATAATTTTCAGAGTAATAAAAGAACAACATCATGCAAATAAAATAATATGCAAATAAAATGTTTTCATAAAAAAATGCTGCTTAATTTGTTTTTTGTAGATGTATTGAGAGTTTATGTCTTTATTTTTTATTCCAGTGAGTTCCATACATCAACTCCATTATTAGAGAGAATATGTTTTACATGATTTGTTCTTTTATAGCAGTTGTGAAGTTTTGATGAGTTTCTTGTGCTATTTTGATGAATTTGATTGATAGTCACAAAAATTTATCAAATACTTCAGACAGGAGTTTAAGATAATTGAAAAGCATTGTAGATATACTGTCCCTTCTGCTCGTGTTTCGCTCTCAGTTGGCTTGGGGGTGGTACTGCCATTGAGAAGAACTGAAACTATCAATATCTCTCAATATTATATAGCATTTGGATTCCCTATTTTTAGAAGTTTATTTCTTATGTTTATTTACTAATAGTGTGTCATAATTAGAGGCGAGATTGACATTGGTATCACGTTACACTCTCGCACCTGGACGTCTTTCTTCTTTCCCGACGGCTTTGTTGTATTGTTTCTAAACTTGGTTATTTTCTAATGTTGTTTTGTTTAAACAAACAAAGACGTAAAAGCCCTGTTTTCGACGTTTCGTTGTCGTGAATCCACGTTAACAGCTCGCCGAAAGTGTCGAAGAAATCCGCATATTGACGGATTTCCCCCAACCGGATTTCATTGAAATCTTCACCATTAGTTTGAAAATACGCACAGATCAGCCAGAATACAAAAATTTGGACTATATTTTAATATAGAATGAAGATCAACAAACTATCCACAGAAAATTATCGCTCACTCGTTACTAAATATATATGGCAGCCATGGCTTGGCCGCGCGCATGCCTCAATATTTTGCACCACCCGCAATATGGCGGAATAAACCTTTAAAGTTCCTATTGCACTCGAGGTGACCAAAATTCGACGTATAAAGCAGGCCTAATTTCAATGTTGAATTCAAATTCAATGTTTAAGCAAATTGCAATGTAGATTCTAACTTCAATGTCGGAAGGAGCTAGGTTGAAAATAAGAACTTAATTTGATTAAATTTTGAAAGTACGTCCAATCTTTGATACGGTGGGGTTGAAAACGCCAACTATAATATCTAATCTGTCTTCAAAGACATAAACATATTGTATTGTAGGAAATTTGAATATTGACCGAAAAGTAACACCATATACTTGATCGCCGACAGTGAAACGTTTCGATTTATTCTTAAAGGAATGAAATCCAGGGGTCGGTTGTATAGAAACGTCGTTAGCTTTAACTATGATTAGCGTTAATCACTGTAGTTAAATCCTTAACTATATGATAAGTTAACTACACGACGTAATTGCGCTGCACAAAACGTAGTTTTTCGGATGATTAACTAATCACGTAGTTAACTTGCGTGGGGCGTTCTAATTTCATACAGGAAGCAGCGATTAACGACCGTTGACAAGCATCTTTAACAAGATTGTGAACTCACATTTCGCAAATATATAGGCGGGAATTTTATTCAAAACAGAGAAAAATCAACTAGAAAACAAGTTAAAAATCAAGGAAGAAGCTCATTTTTACTTGAGATGTCTACGTTAAACCAAAGTGTAATTGTTTGGCAATGTTTCTTCGTGTAATGGGCACAACGCCGTCTTCGATAAATCTTCCCGTGCAAATATATATTTTGTTTTCACAGAAAAACCAAAGCGATAGCGTTTGAAGTACTATTTAAAGCACGCGTTGGAGTGTTCTATCAGTGAGTTCATTGGCGAAGTAATTTTTAAAATAAACTTTGTCTAAACCTAGAAAATCAAAGCAAATTTATGTAAATTAACGTGATTTTTTATCACATATAAGGCAATGACACGCTTATGATTTTTCTTTGTGTTTAGCTCCTGAATTATTAATGAGTTTTTGAAGAGTATATATTGTCAGAAAACATTTACCGGGAAGATAGCGATTGAAAACCCAAGGTAAGCATTACTTTTATTGTTGTTTTACTGAAAAATGTTGCTCCATCCTATACAAGCCAGCGCCATTTTTAACTACGTTTTGATAAGTTAACGATACCCTAAAGCATCTTTAACTTTAACTGTGTTTTAACTACAGTTACCGCTAACTTCTTTTTTATACAACCGAGTTAACCACTTAAAGATATATAACCACTATTTAAATACAATATATAGTGATTAAGAGTTTTATACAACCGACCCCAGGAAACTCTCGAAAATAGTTCTATTACTGTAGTCGTATCTTTTTTAATTCGTCGTTTTAAGATTGCATGGCTTTGTAAGTCTCCATAGGAAATGTCTTGCTTACATTTGCCTTCTATTTGACTATGTATAAACCCAGCATACGTGTTTTATCAAATATAAAACGCGAGATATAAAACTGTATATAAGATATAAAACGTTGATTAAAATCGGGCAATTTTAATCAACGTAATACTAGTCACTATAACCTGCCTTGGTTACTCTGACCCACCTAAAAAAGATCGAATTTTCAAATGTCCCGCAAAGTTAATCACAAAGAGAATAGTTATTGGTGGCAAAGTGATATCGCGGATAAAGTGTTCGATGGACGCTTAAATTAAGTTTCTAATTTATTTTTTAACACACCTGGGTAGATGAGAATCCACCATAATAATTACGTTGCTTAGATAACCATTTTACAATCTTTATTATGTCTTTATGAAGTTCTTTTCGTTTCAGATAAGACAATAGAGCATAGCCAGTCATTTCCACATCAGCAGGTGCAGGCTTGTAGTTATAGTCATCTCTGGTCTTTTCAATCAGTACTGATTTATCATTCCTTGCTGACCAAAAAATTTGCCCATCTAAATTATTCAATAAATTATAATAAGTTGAATAAATATCTTGATGAGTCTATTTTAATTGAACTACTCGATTTCGCAAACGATTTCTCTTGACAATGCTATTCTGGAAAGAAATAGTTTAAAAACATCGTGTTCGGTCAGGAATATTATTTTTATGTACATTAACTCGGGTCTTGTTTCAATTGAATCGCTGCCAAAACTATAGTAGCACGAGCATGGAATTCCTATTTATAATAGTAAAACTATGTTTACACGCTGCGATATATCGTGTACGATTTGTTTTCTGGCGTATGTCATTGAATAAACACACGCGAGCTGCCTACATTTAAAATTTCTTCTTAACAAAACGGCAATTATAATGAATTTTGGCGGCAGCAGTCATTTTAATACGCCAGATTACAAATCGTACACGATTAATCGCAGGGTGTAAACGTATCTTAAATTATTCCTTTGAATTTTTGCTAATATATTGCCATTGGGTTACATGTACAAATCAAGTAAAACTCGCACCATTCGGACTGACTGTCTTGTTCTTCAAACGACTTATCATAACTTCAGCTTTGGGGTGATCTGCTAGCACTAATGCGTATGTTACTAACGATGTGGTGTAAGAATCTTGAATTAAGTCTAGGTTCTTCGTTACGCAATGCAAAGCTTTAGAGGCCATCGTTGTTGTCTAAAAAGTAAAGAGAGAATATATTGGATATAATCTGAATCAATCTGGTTATAAGTGTATGGGTAGTAAAAAAAATTGATAATATCTTGATAATTTCTTTGATACCATGTTGTAATGCGGTGTCAATGAACTATATTAAAGTAGAAGTTACTATCGCAAGGAAATGCTGCCTCGCCTAAAGGGATGAAAGACTGCATGTGCAATTTGATGAATAAGGGCGCGATTCCAGTCCTCGCACGAAGCACCTCGCAACTCGCCGCGAGTGTATGCATGAGCACTTTCAT